CATAATAATAAGACGCCCCAAAAAAATTATAAAACTCTACTACATATTTATATTTAAAAACTAATTTTTATTGTAAATGAAAGCAAAGGATTTACAACACTAAACAATTTTTTAACAAATTTATTTTTAACGTAACTTGCATTTTATAAAAAAAAAAAAAGTTTCTTCAGTGCGACAAAACTATAAAACAATTTTAATAAAAAAAATAATAGCTCGGAATTAGGGAGATTTTCGAATTATAGATAGGGGAAAGCGGGGCAACATGGCGAATGGGGCAAGATGGTTTTTCATATAACAACTCAACAAAAAATCTTTAAATTGGGTAAAAACAAAACTGTATTTGCATTTTGTATTTTAAAACACCAATTGGTTTTTTGAAATATTATAAACGCAATTTTGTACGCATAAGTTTACTTTTTGCGCCTAAAAAAAAATTCCTCACTTTCGGTTTCTCATAACGGATAGTGTCCTTCAAGTTTAACTTCTTTAGAAGTAGTTTTTAGTGATTTGTGTTTATTTTTGTTACTTTAGTTAGACTTATTGGTAGTTTTTAAAATTTTATAAAATTGAAGGTAAAAATTGAATAATAAGTCATCTTGCCCCGGTCACGTGACCAGATGACAAATTTATGAACTTTTTATTTTAATATTTATTTTAAATTGTTTTATTTGCAAACGGAAAATTCATGCAGGCAATAAAACATTTTAATTACATAAACATACTCAGAAAGTATTATTGCCTCACGACTGATAGTTTTGCACTAACTCAGGGCTTTCAAAACGTTCGCCATGCTGCCCCGCTTTCCCCTAGTTGATTTTTTTTAATATATATGTGTTTTAAACTTTTAAATTTGAAAAAAAAGTCAGTTATTGTAGATTGTCTTTTACGAGCTAGTAAACTCATGTCAAAGACAGGATTTATATCTTTAAGAGCCTTCGTCAAATTATCTCCAAAATAGCTTGCTTTTTCATAAATTAGTCTAGCCATCCTACCGAAGCTTGAAAATTTTTAAAGCATAACCCAATCGCAAAATGTAAAAAATATAAAAAGTAAACAAAGCTTTTTATTTTACCAGCAAGCCACTAATTGGTACATTATCAGCTCTCATTCGTTTGAAACAATTAAGTAAAGCTTTGTTTACTAGATAATACGAATCAACTTTCACCCGTTTAGTCAAATTTCCTTGACAAAAAGCGTCAAAGATTTTATCTTTATTATTTTTCCAGGTTGAAAAAGTGTTTGGTGGAATAACAAAAATCTTCGAAACCTCTTTATTTGTTTTTCTTCAATTCCATTAGAGTTTTTTATTTCCGCTTTAAATTTATTTCTTTATGTTTCTTTGATGCCATGATTTTTTTCTTAAATAATAGAAGATAATTTACAATAATCGTTTTTCATAAACTCACAACATTCGAAATTTGAAAAAAGATTTTGACAGTTTAATGAGCTTTTCACACTTCAGAAGTTAATAAAGTTTGATTTACGGAGTGAATCTTACTAACAGGTCTAAAAAATCCATTCGAATTGCGGAGGTTTTCGAATTATAGAGATTCGAATTATAGAAAGTTAAACTTAAGTGTTTCTAAAGCGCATTTCACGGTGACTTAGCATTTGATCGAATTATCGAGGTTTTCGAATTAAAGAGATTTGAATTAGAGGATTGTATTGTGTTATTATTTTTAAACACTTAAGTCAAAATCCTTAGAATGCCTCAAAGAAAAACAAAAAGATTGCCGGGAGCACAGTATAAAAAAAAGCGAGAAGAAAAACAAAATCTTTGGTTCTCTAACAAAGTATTTGGAAAAAGCAAAACTACTAGAGACGGAAAAAGCTTGTAGTAGCCAAACAAATTTAAGAAGAAATTTTTGACAAAAATGAAAATTTATTATTAGCAGAAAATAAAAATGACAA